TGAGAAAAAGATTTCTGGGGCTAATAGTTTTTCTAATTTGATGTGATTTGTTTGCTAATTGCAAAAATCGTGTCCATAATTTTTTTCCGTATGATCATTATATGTGAGAGGCAGAGTAAACACTAGATTAGTCCGTGTTTAGTTGGGTGCTTGCGAGCAAACAACACAGCATCTGTGGCACAGATCGAGTTTTACGGAGGGTTAAAAACACGCTGCGGGGGTTTAAAAAAAACTGTGATTGCTTTTAGTTTTCCACATCACAGGGGGTTAGTAGAAATCACATGTTGAAATTTGACTCGATTAAGATGATTGAGCCTCCCTGAAAATGAATAATAGTGAAAACAGCATTGTTTGGTGCAGTCGTTCCTACGCAGCGTCTGAATAACAACAGATTCATGGTGCTAAGTGTTTGTAGCTGCAGGCGGGTGGGGTGTAGGGGGTTGCAGTCCTCTGTGCTGTTCCTTCTTCTTCACAGGCCCATTTTATTACCGGTACATCTCAATAATTACCTCATCCTCTACAGAGCAATAAAACACCTATCAGAGTCGTTAACATTGTTCACTTACACTGAAATTAATGAGCATCTTGTCATATTTGCTAATTAGATTGTTATTGGACAATTTGACACCCTCCCCCTTCATTTTGTCCACTTTTCTTTCCTTTTGAATCGTTTTGAATGCCCCGTCAGGCTGGTTGATGAGGGCCAGTGAATGGGATTAAGGCCTCCTGCTGCTTTCTGTTCTCCACGTGCATTATGCTGATTTTGGGAGCAAATTTTCCAGAATTTTTTAGATGCTGTTTTAGGAAAAATTCTAAATAATACATATAGTTGCCTTTATAGATACTGAGATATTTGAGAATAAACTAAATTGGAGCTGAAGTTATCAGAGGCTAGCAACTGACAATAACTGACGTTGAAACCCTGGAGATGGCAGCATTAAGATGCTTGAGTTGTTACCCATACTCATAAAAATGGTAGTATGTGTGGTGTATCTCAGTGTTCGTACTCTAAACAAAAACATCAACATGTTTCTTTATTTCCACTCATTTCCATGGACACAAATCTAACATATAAATTGATTCATAAGTCCGAGTTCCCATATTGTTTCAATTAACTTGCTGTATTTCGATCAAGTGCATTGTGACCTCAGAGGGAAAAGCAACACGACTCTACCACTGACTCTGTTCACTTTGCTACGTTGGTGTTTTATCTCCACTGATAGCACACGCCTGGAGGAGTTCTGCTGTGTGGTAGAGTTGCTAATGCAAACGGTTAGCTTCTACTAGCCGAGACGTGCTCTGCTCTCTCCTGGGTGCAAAATCAACAACAGCCTTCCTTCCCCGTTACGAGTCGAGATGGGTGAGCCCATGAACGTTCATTTTCAGTGTGACGTAGATCTGACTGGCTTTTCTAATCTGAGCGTTTCCCCGTCTACTTTAAATCAGAAGCTAATGCAAGAAGTAGGGGCAGAAGACTATTTTCACGTTCAGCCTGGATGTGAAACTTAAAGAGCAAGTCACCCCCAAATCAACATTTTTTTTGCTGATAAACTATATAAAAGAATGTCTAATCATGCTGTAGACATGTGTAGTCAATAATTTTGCACTTTGGTGCATCTTAGTAAAAATTGAAATATTCTGTCAGTGTTGTGCCGTCGTCAGGTAAAAACTCTGCACTTCATTTGAATTTAAATCTGCCTTCGCTATTGGCTAAGAGGTACACTATGATGCTGGCTGGTACATTATGATGTCACAATGTTGTGAGCCTGTGTGAGTATTTGTTAGCAGCTCCGCCCTCTCGGTCTGCCAGGCAACAGCATTTGTTGCATTTTTCAAACAGGAAGTGGGAGTTGAGTAAGACTCTGGTCTGGGTGACTTGCTCTTTAAGGTGACCGATCGTGTTTAAAAAAATAACAGTCATAAATGGTGTGTCAGTAAAGTTAATGTTAAATGCATTTGTGTCGCCAGATGTGGAAATTAGTTTACCTGAGTAAAGAACTTACTTAAATAGATTATTCTTTCTTTTGCTGCAGGAAATATTGACAAAGCTGTCTCTTCAAGATGAAATTTCATTAGTTTTTAGAGCACGGTACAAAATTAGCACTAGCTAATTCGAACAAATCTGTAATTCTCCTAACAGTGGTCATTCAAAGAGATGAGACAACAGCTACAGTCTTTTTTAAACAATTTAAAAAAGCTGGATTATCCTTTGAGTTGTTTCCGTAACAGTTTAGGTGTTATTGGAGCGTACAGCAAGTGTCCCTGAAGAGCCTTAAGGCGCCCCCGTGCATGGAAGGCACAAAATCCCTGATTCTATGTTTCTTGAGTATTGAAGGCAGACACAGAGGCCTCATAACACTTACTGGTTACCTTTAAGTGAATAACTAGTATTAATAAAGAGCAAGGAAAAGGTAATAAATCTAAACCTCTGACTGTTATTACAGCCTGAATCTGATAAAGAAATCAGGAGCTTTTCCATCCTGACATGACCAGAAAGACTTTGAGCCATTCCCCCAGCTGCTTTCCATTTCCTGGCAGTTCTTTTTTTAAGCACACCCGTCTGCTTCAGCAGGGACATCTCAGTGTGACGGCCACCATACCTCACTTTATTTGCCTAGAAGGACAATAGAAACGTACACCTGCAGGAGTCATCTGTGTGGAAAGTTCCAGCCTGGAGCTGCTGGTGGAAACCCGATTCCAACATGTCTGCTTTCACTAAGACCAATACCAAAAACCATGATGATAGTTCGTGTTTTTGTTGCTCCAGCTCCATCACTTCCTGGGAGGAAAGTTCAAACACACCCTGGTTTTTTTTTGGTTTTCTTACACATCATGAGAAATAGACCAGCTATGCACTGTGTGAGATTTGGATGTTTGAGGGATGAATTAAACAAACCTTTAACAGAAAAGCCCTCTGCATTCTTTTCTCTGACATTTAGATCTGTTTCTCAGCGAGTGACCCAGGTGGTTTTGTGTTAATGGTGCACACTGCTTACACTTTCACCACTGAATGCCTAATTGGTTGGCCCCTTCGGCCTGCTTTTGGACCAGGCATCGCAGGAGCAGTATATCAACACCACCACACCAACTAAGACGTTTGTAGCAGCTTCAGATTTGCGTGTTTTTGTAGAAAAACTCCCACGAGGATAAGTTTAATGTTTTCCGCTGGCTCCAAAACCTCCCATGCAGCCTCAACAATAACATCTGTGGTTTGGATTAGACACCTTGGTGATATCACCCTTTGAGTAATGCGCCTGCATTAAAGCAATCTTGTGGCCGGCTCTTATTGCCGTTGAAGTTTATGCAGGCACAAGATCCAACACAAATGATGATCAGCACTGCAGGACGTGATGGAGGTTGTTGGGCAGCAGATTTTCCTTTGAATTTGTTTCATGTTTTCACTACTGACCATGTTTTTAATGCCACACTGTCATCTGTAGTTTAGAGCTTTTATATGTTTTAAAGAAGTTTCTAATTCCAAGTCTATTGAAGTGAGATGTGTTAAAAGGTCAGGGACAATTAAGATTGGACCACTGCAAATACGAGTAAAGTCAAAGAAGGTGAAAAAAATAAAAAGTCTGAGGAATAAATTAGATTAAAATCACATAAAAACTGACAAGAAAATGGTTCTCGAACATAATCTGAGTCAACTGGGTCATGGAACAAAACGTAAGAGCTCAGGCCAAATTCACCACTTAATCAATTAAATCAGATAAAGTCTGGAACTTGGTCATCAATGTGATTCCACTCAAACCAGAGGAAGGACTTTAGAGCCCGCCCCCCCCCGAAAAAACCCTGCATGTTAGGTCACTTGGAGACTCTAAATTGCAGAGGTGTGGACCCGAATCACATGACTTGGACTCGAGTCAGACTCGAGTCATTATGTTAATTACTTCCGACTTGATAAAATCTATTAAGACTTACGACGACTCGAACGTGAACGCCAATGACTTGCGACTTGAATCGACTTGTACCTGTTGACTTGATGACTTGAGCATATTTGATATTTTTGCACTAAAATGACACGACATGGACAAAAATCACAAATCGTTCTTCATCCTGTTTTTGATCTTTTTCTGCAGCAGCACTTTGTTTATAATCAGTTTTCTGCTTGTTTGAGCGAATAAATGAAGATTTAAAGAGCAAGTCACCCCCTACCAGAGTCTAACTCCACTCCCACTTCATGTTTGAAAAATGCAACAAATGCTGTTGCCTGGCAGACCGAGAGGGCAGAGCTGCTAACAAATACACACACACACACACACAGGCTCACGACAGCATTGTGACATCATAATGTACCAGTTTACATCATAGCATACCTCTTAGCCAAAAGCGGTGGCAGATTTAAATTAAAATGCAGTGCAGAGTTTTTACCTGACAACGGCACAACACTGCCAGTTTTAGGCAGAATATTTAAATTTTAATTAAGATGCACTGAAGTGCCAAATTATTGACGACACGTGTCTGCAGCACGATTAGACACTCGTTTATTTAGTTTATCAGCAAAAAAAAGTTTATTTGGGGGTGACTTGCTCTTTAAGAAGCTTTCATTCTGGAATGTATTAATTATCATCGTCATTAAATGGAAGTTTGACAGATGACTTGATTATGACTTGAAAATTCAAAGTCATGGACTTGGACTTCCACATCATTGACTTTGGACTCGACTTGGACTTGGTCGTCTTAGATTTGGACTTGAATGGAAAGACTTGCGACTAACTTGTGACTTGCAAAGCAGTGACTTGGTCACACCTCTGCTAAATTGCCCCTAAAGGTGTGAGCGAGTGTGCGACTGGTTGTTTGTCTCTGTGTGAATGAGTGATCACATGAATTAATGAATGCATTTGTTGGCTTGTGATGTGCATCAGTGGCTAAAACCAATTTTACCAACAGGGTGCGACATCACCTGAGATCCTCCTTCTCTTTGCTTCCTGATGCAACTTTATTTTAGATGAATTATTTTTATTTCTTTCATGTTGTTCAACAGACAGGAAAATAAAAACTGTCAATATACTTTTATTACAGCCATCTAAAATCCAGTTGCAAAAGTAAAAAATCAAAAGTCGACAGCAAACAACAGAAAAAAGCCACATTATTTCATGTGTCATTAAATATATTCATTTATGATAAACATAATATATTAGTATTACAGAACATTACACAAACATTTGCAATGGACACTGCTAAACAACATTTACAGACTGATGTAGATCCACGAGCAGGAAGCTGCTCTGGTTAGTGTGTGAGGTCTAGTGGGAGTACCGTTCTGCAGGAGAACAAACGGAGACTTTAGGATCAGTTCCCAAGTAGGATTCAGAGGGTGCTGAACCATACCCACGTATTTCTGCTTGCATGTGGCTTCGTGTCTAAACTCTCAGGCTGGATCCTCCAGGAGATAAACACCTCTGCTCAAGGAGCTCCTAGCATTTCAAACAGTGGTTAAGTTCACCTAGATACAGGATATCTGGTTAATGTTTCATCAAAACAAAAGGAGTAATAATACTATACAGCTATTTAACATACAGACAATCAGTCATGTCTTTCTGTTAAGTACCAAGTGGATAAAACAGGAACCCTTCGTTAATTGGTCCTTAGAGGAATTAATATTTCACACCCTTTTCTGGTGTGTGATCTCTGTGATATTTCATCACTCCACAGGTTGTCCCCACAACACGGAAACACTGTATACAATGAAATGTGCATAATTAAAAAATAACCACAATTAGCCTGTCAGCTACAGTAAATGTAGCACAATCAGAGAGGCCTACAGGCTTTATAAGTGGGTAAAAGTTGTAAAAGATTATTCTCCGACCCACAGAGTGATACATCTCTCATTTGAAAAGTATGAGCTCATATCCCACAGGACTGATGAGCTAACGGCTAGTCAGAATGGACCCATGACTGTCTCCTTAAAACAGATCCGACCTTAAAACTCCTACAATCTACAGATCCTCCTTAGTGTCACAGCATTTTGTACAAATGCTGATTGATCTCAACAGTGGCTGTTTTCTATGGGGTGCCATTTGCAAAGTCAAACTGTCATAATTTAACAGCAGTGTTTAGGTTATTTCGCTTGTAATGGGGAAAAAATGGGAGGTACTTTTTTTAAGTCATATTTTCACCATGTTTTTTATACATTTTTTATGTTAAAGAACCCAACTAACATTTAGTTGACAAGCTAAATATTTATTTTAGAGTTAAATATGCATTTTACATGCTAAATATTAGATTGTAAAATAAATATTTAATTTACAAACTAAATGTTTAATTTTGAGATAAACATTTAGTTTACAAGCTAAAGTTTTAGCTCCAGATTAAATATTTATTTTTCAAAATAAATATTTGGATCCCAGCTAAATATTTATCTTCAGGTTAAACCTAAATATTGATTTTGCAAATTAAATGTTTAGCTCTAAAAGAAATATATAGCTGGGATGTAAATTTTTATTTTGGAAGCTAAATATTTAATTTGGAGCTAAATATTTAGTTTGTTAACTAAACATTAAATTAAATATTTAGTTTGTAAATTAAATATTTATATTAGAAACTAAATATTTAGGGCTGACACAAATATTTAGTTTGTAAAATACATATTTAACTCTAAATTCAATATTGTGCTTGCTAACTAAATATTTAGTTGGGAACTTTAACATTTATGAATGTATGAATAATAAGGTGAAAATATTATAGAAAAATTACCTACCATTTTTTTTTCTTATGATAGAGGAAACAACCCAAAATACTGCAGTTAAATTATGACTGACCTCTCAAATGGCACCCCATAGTTTTCAGTGCAGGTTTTTAGTCCCGCCCCCGTCATAGAATGAAATGAGACACTTCGGTGATATCTTACATGTACGTTTTACCTTGCCATGACATGTTCTAAGACATTAAATATTTAGCAGTAATAAGTCGTTTGACTCGTTAAAAAATCCCAGGTGATTTGCAGTTGAGCAAATTTTCCCCCAAAACAATGGCAGCACCTATAGCGGAAGTCAGAGAGCGTTTGGTAAATAACCGGAGAATAAATGTGATGCTGTAAAGATGCATAAATGTATTTACATAACTGATTTTCCTGTTTTAGGAATTCGAGCTATTTGAAGACAGCAGTGATGCGCTTTGGTGTTGCCTGAAGTAAGACTAGCCGTTAGCTTATCAGCCCCCCAAAAAATGCAAACTCCGCTTCTCCATACAAAGGCCACCCAGGAAGCTATCTAACATGTTGGATGGCAATTATTTTGACACAAAAACACACCTAGGAATGGCAAAATCCTTTTAAAGATCTGTGATATCCATCTAACATTTAGTTGTTTTATTTGAGCAAAAGCATAAACGTCTGACTTCTGAGCCGCTGGAGCAGGACTGCAGATCAGCTGCGAGGCAGGCAGGTGTGTTTTTGTTTGTACGCAGCCCTAAAAACACGAACATATCTTATATGTTCTAAAACTTCGGACTAGTTAAAAAAATAAGTGCCTGGTTGAAAATCTACTCTAATCTATCCGATGCATCAACATCTATGTAAAAGAACACAATAAAAAAGGTTTACTTATGCACAGACGGTTACTTTACATTGCAGAGAGCACAATCACAACATTAGAAGCAGCTGAGCAGCAACTTTTCATTTTACTGTAAGACGAGGGGATCTCGTTGGCGTTTAGCTCCCAGAAACACAGAGGCGACGCTCACAAACGAGCCGGACGTGTCCGGCGAAGGTGGCGTTTGTAGTATTTAGTTTTAAAGGAGAACTAATGATATGTGAGTACAGTAAGCAGGAGAGGTTGACGAGGGTGGGACCTTAATGAACAGCATCATGGGTAAAAGATGAGCCACGGCTGTAAAATTAGGTGCAAACTCTGCAATCTCACGACAAAGCTCACGGTGAAAACACGGAAACGGAACAGCTGCAGAATGAGCTCCTTCACAACAACAACACTACCTCTCTTCCTCCCTCCAGCTCAGAGCAGCAGCACAAGGTCACTTCTACTCTTCACGTGTGTTCTTTTCATTTGAATTTGTTCACTTTGCTTTCGCACCGTTCTTCTTGTCTGAATCCCGGTGGAAGCATCACTCCACTGCCGCCTGTCTGCCAGCCACTTTTAGCACTTCCCCCTCTTGCCACGCTGTTGAAACTTCCTCAGCCGACGACCCCACAGGTCCTTCCAAGGGATGAGCAGGCTTCCCTTGTCGGCGACGACACCGCTTTGTCCGGGGGAGTCGTCGTCCACTCCCAGGAGCAGGTACTTCCTCCCGGGCTTGATCTTGGGGCATTTGCAGGCCACGTCCTTGGCGCGAACCCACAGCAGCTGATCGCCGCGGCGGATGCGATGCTCCCCTTGCTTGTAGACAGAAATGATGTTGACCGTGAACTTCCACCACTCGCCAGCCTTGTCTCCTTTGAGAACGTGGACTTGGACAGCTGGTGGAAGAGACAAGCAGAAGCTGAATTAGCCCAACGCTACACAACAAACCAACAGGTTGCTGCTGCTGAGAGAGGGCCACGGGAAGATTTCCTACAACTAACATCTGTGCTAACGAACTAAAACTTTCACTCATTATAAAGGTTTTAAAAGACATCGGACAACTCTGTCGCTTTTCTAGAACTTCTATAAAAAATTGTTTAACTATGACCCAAAGATCAGCAGCAGGCCACCCACTCCTCCCCTCATCTCTGACCTCTGACCTCTCTTTGTTGCGCACATTCTCCCCAGCATGCACCGGTCTCCATAACACCCTGCGCCCGCGGCTGGAAGCACAGCGGCTTCTGATGGAGAACATCTGAAAGTAAACGCTGCTAACGGGTGGCCCAGCTGGGTTAAAGGTGGAGGAGCGGGTTTCTTCTTTTGTTTTTCGGGTGAGAAAATCTAACATCTGCTTCAAATAAAACCCCTGAGCCAAATTCTTTCCAATTGTTCTGTCAGGTGTTGGAGCTGGAGTCGGAGCATCTGAGCACGGCAACCGCGGGCTAGAGCACGTAGAGCCTGGTAACTATCGGGACATTTTCATACCAGGAACAGATCGAAGCTCCCCTGCACAGATTCTCTTCGCCCAACCAAACAGCCATTACTGTCAGAGTGATTGCTACAAGAGGCCAAACCGCTCAGCTTGCCTGAAGTGAGGCACTGCTTTTGTCCAGCTAGGAATGTGTAATTACTGTTAAAGTGTTGGGGTTTACTCCGAACGGTGGGAATCAGAGGGCTGGACCAGACTCAAGATGTAACGGATCAGAACAGCAGGATCTCTGTGAGAGGACACGAATCGTCAAAGCCTCACTCGCGTTTTGTTTGGTTTGAACTCATCAGCTTGTTTCAAACCCCAGATTTACTACAAGCCGATTTTACTATTGCTATAAATTAATCATTCAAAAGAAAACGGATACAGACTGGACATTTGTTCTCGACAAGTAAGAACAAAAATGTATCTATTTATTTTATTTTTACTATTCTAACTTTTTTATACTTTCCTAAATTTCTCTGGTTTTAGGTTCTGTGTAGACTCCATATTGTTCTTTGATTAAATTAAATTTTCTAAATCTAATAAAAGTAAAATACATCTGTTGATAGGGCCTCCTGTTCCGCTGCTTCCCTAATGATGTATATAACATATATTAGCCTATATAATATATAATATTAGCAGAATGCCTCTTAGTGCTTAAGCTAGTATTTCCAACAGAGAGGGAATCAGCTGAGATGCAACTAGCCCAGAAATCCAGACAAAAGATATAGGGTGTTTTTCAGTGCCAGGGAACCTTGCCTTGATGTCTTGGCCCCGCCCCGGTTGCCTAGGAGATACGTCATCGGGAGCCGCCAAGACATGTTCCAAAGTTCATGTTCTACCGAGGCGTGTGTTCTCCGTTTGTTAGCCATTTAGCTAGCTGAGCAAGGACACACGGGAGGTGTCTTGTAGCCTAGCCTAGGTCAAAAATTACCCAGAATACACCGCAGTATTTTCAAAAGGATGGCGGATCAGAAGCCGGCAGCTACTTCGGAGAAATTTTTCAAGTTTAAAAGTAAGTCAGCTAATTTAAAATGTTTTTTGGGATCCAAAGAAGTTATCTATGGTTGGTTAGTTGCTTAGTAGTTGCAGCTTCGGTGGCTAGCGGGTAGTAACTCACTTATATATTTAATTTAATAAACATATACACAATTTAAAAAGTAAAAGCCTCGTTATATATTTATATAGAAACTAATACGTATAAAATATAACGTTATCTCCCGTGTCACATGATGCAAGTCTGTTCCATTTAACCGTTTTCTTTGACCAAGGAAGGACAGTGTCCTCCTAAGCAAGGCGCCTGGCCTCACAAGACATCGCCTCGCAAGGCAAGGCGCCTTGACATTAAGAAACACCCATAGTTCTGCAGGTCCGTCTAGCCACGCCCCATTGTAGCCTTAGCAGGTCTACTATTGGCTGTAGCAACTTTAAGTCTGGCCAATCACAGCACTCTATGACTGTAGAGATATAGGGAGCTTAAGGCTACGTTCACACCTTGATGCTCAATTCTGAATTTTCAGTAAATCAGATTTTTTGTGTGGCCGTTCACACTGTGACTGAAATGCGACATCAAACTCTCTCCAGTGCGAACGCTCCGCGGCCCCAAAGCGACCCGCATGCAGAAGACACGAAGTCACACTCAGTGGAGCCGAAACCAGGAGCGGAGGAGTTGTGATGTCATCCTGATCCTGTGGTTAAACTGTCCGTGAAAACGTTCACACCTGTTAATTCTTCCGTTTTGGGCTGGAAACTGTTTTAAAACTGTAAACTATTTTACTCCTTGTTCCCGCCGTCTCCCTGAATTATTATTTACCGAAAATGTTCGGGTATTAATACATTCACGGAGACCCCCCCCGACGGAGACCGGTGAGACGCTTCGCTCCAGCAGCACCTCCAGCTCCCGTTCTCATTATTTCTTGTATTTTTTATTCCAAAACCTAAAACAGGAAGTCCAGACAGACTCCTGAACCCTCCTGTCAGCGCCTCTCCTCAGGAACATCCACACACGACGCTCACCTCCTGGACGTATTTTCACACAAAACCTAAAACAAGCCCGCCCCCCCTCCCATTTGAAAATAAGCACTTTCTTGGTACCAAAATGCTTCTTTAAAATTCATGAACATCATATATGAAACATAATAAGCGGGATTAGAAAATGGCGTTTTTTGCCCCGTTGACTTGCATTCATTTTTTCGTTCTTCCGGGAACCTGTGGTCCGGAAGTAGATGAGCGTGACTTGGGTTCCATATTGGCCAGGCTTAGCACCAGAGCTGCCATGGAGAAAAACTACAAATATGGTGTCAGCTCAGCAACGGTGCTCATTTGAAACAGCTTTGGCATCACCCCTGGACGATTTAGACTTTTTCTTTGAGACATGAGCAGATGGCGGTACTTCTTTTTTGACGCTGTATGTCGGACCGCCCCGTTGAAGGATTTCTGTAGCGGTGACTACGTCTCATTGCTTTGATTGGTCCTAGCTTAGCAACAGCATGTGGAGGCAGTTTGAAAGACAACCTTAGAGTCTGCCCAGCAACTGAGCTCTGTCTAGGGGTCGTGTTCAGACTAGGTGTTCACACATGTAGGATTGCTCAGCAGGCTAATAGATCTGCATTTGTGTACATTTTCTTGTCTTAGATCTTCCAATGAACCCTGATTTTTATTCGAATTGGCGACCTCATCCCAAAGTTGTCTCTGGTGTCTTGTACTTTCTGGCGCCGATCTCCAACATTCCCACTGTCACAGCTTAGTCTTTTACCGTTGTCATTTTATCTAGAATTGTTTCAGCAGTCACAAAGGTGTTGCTCCAGTCTGTTGTGGTGAAGAGCCCAAAGCCAAAGTCTTCCAATCTTTGGATGTGAGATACAGAACGCATCCTAAAGTTTAAGATCATGGTTACAGAAAGCTAAAGGAATCTTCCCCAAGGCTATTGGCCTTAGTGGTAAAGTGAGGATCACCTGTTCATGTTTATGTTTATTTATTTAGCAGACACTTTTATCCAAAGCGACTTACAATTTATAACCTATAGGGCATGTTGTGATGTGTGGGGGAAACCGGAGTACCCGGGGGAAACCCACACATGCACGGGGAGAACACGCAACTCCACGTAGAAAGGCCTCAGCCGAGTTTCGAACCTGCGACCTTTGTGCTAACAACAGTGCTAACCACTGCACCACCATGCAGCCCAACCTGTGTAGATGTAGATCGTGAATGCAAAGATTCTTGACTGATACTGTGGTGATGATCCACTTTCAATTTAAGCCTTAATGTTGGTCTTTTCTTCACCATTGTGGCGCGATCATTGACAGTCTCCATCAGCTGTATCCCGTCGCAGCGAAAAATGAGAATTGCGAGTTGTTTAGGCATGCGTGTCAGTGCACGGTGTGAGCAAATTGCACACAATTCCAGGAGAAAGAAGGTTTGTTGAGCTGAGTGGAGCATGCTCTCACAGCCCTGCCATTCACTGCAGGCCTCTCCTTCATCCCGACACATAAAGGGTGTGTGATGAAGGGAGGAGGAGGGGTTGAAAAGCAGAGGCCACTGTTTGTCTTCACAGCCGCAGAAAAAGCTCCAGGAGAACCGGGATGTGTTTCCGACCTCATGAGCTGTCCGGGGTTCTGCTCCCAGAGCTCCATCCAACTCTGCAGCGTGAGAATCCAGGAGAGACGGGCCGTCGCTCCCCTCGGCGCTGCTGTGATGAACTCGAAGGAGGAGACTCAGTTACAGCATCCAGACACGGCCTCTCTGTCAGTGTCTGCTTTCTTTCTCAAGTGTGTTTTCAGACAGAGATGTGTATTTAAACACACTCAAGTCCGCTCACACACACACCTTCTGCCACTTGGTTTGTGTTAAATAGTTGGAAAACGAGAGCTCAGGGTGAAGCGCGGTGTTTGGTGAGGCGATCCTGCGCTCGAACAACAGCCAGACTTCCCACCGAGCTGATCTTCTCTGGCTGTGCGGCGGCTTGACACGGCGTGCCACCAACAGGCAGGGGGCTAATGAAATTAGAGCTTGCCTAATTACCCCACAGAAGTCCCCTGTCCCCTCTGGTTATCAGCTGAGTGAATGATCAGGGACCTGCTAGCCTGGGGTGAGAGCAGAGGGGTGTCCACGGGGGACCGCGAGGATCAGCCTTTGAGCACTATCCCGGAGCGTCGGTAAACACGCGGCCCTTTTGATTCATTGTCCTCCTTTTGGCAGGCGGAGGGAGGGTACGTGTGTGCAGAGGAGGGTGTCAGGCGAGAATATAATCCCTTTGTGTCCGCCGTCTCCGTAGCTACGGCAGCCATGAAAAACAAATATTGAACAAACAAAACATATTTCTCTTTCTCCGAGGTGGCAGTCCGTCACCGTCTGCTTAATTTACCACCTGTTTGTGCCCCGAGGAATGCTCGGTGCCGGCGGAGCGCACAACAGTGTTTAAACAGA